CCGCTCGCTTGACTCAATTATCTGTCCCTATATCTATCTATCTGCAATTATCATCTCGCTTTATTTGCCGGGCTTATATACTAAAAAAAAAGAGGGCGTCTAGAATGCACTCGGGCCTTCATGATCCTTCTAGAAACTCATCACGTGCTACCAGCGTCATGTGACTTCCGCTGTCGTAACAGTATTAATTTGAACAGTGTATATTTAATATACGTTTTATTCAAGTAAGCTATTTTTGCTTTAAAAGCTGATTTATCATTTTCTTTATTAACTTTCAGCACAAAGATCTCTCGAAATTTTCATATAATTGTTTTCGAGGTTTGTGGCGTCAATTTTAAATTTTGAACTACTTTAGGCGTACAATTTTTTTCATCGGAATGCCGCCAAAAAATGACTCGGCGGTAAGTCTGAGAGCTTTTGACGCTAAATAGCGGGTGTCGATAATGTCGGAGGGTAGGTCATGGATGGCCCATTGTGCTTCTTTGTATTTAATAACAAACAATTAAACTGTTCCAAGATAATATTACATTCATAGCGCCACCTAAATAATCACAAAATGACTAGTGTTAACAACATAAAGGTTTACAAAATAGACAGTTTTATTGTGATAAGAGCCAAGCCTCAAACAGCAACAGTGAATAACAATTCATTATAACTTTGTCAATGGAGCGCTGTTGTTTTTCCTTTTTCATGCAGTTATAATTAATTCGAAATATACACAGTTTTAATATCACAAAAGCTTCGGTGCGTAATCACCTACTTTTGATCGTAACGTGGCTCTACCTGTTGATATTTTGTAAAAATTTTAAATAAATTAATAATTTTTATAATCACCCTAATGAACTTTATACTTTAGTTAATAGAAGTTCATGAAAATTATTGCTGACAATTGATAATTAGATGCTAATTAATTCCGAGATTACATTTTAAGCTAAACTGAATATTTCCACTCTATCTACAACATTTCATTGGCGTTTAGCAATAAGTACTATGTACAGGTTGTTCATACAGTACTCTTTGATAGACAGCTGCTAACAGGATCTAACAAACGACAGGAAATCTGTTGAATACGAATAAAGGCGTTCCATTCGTTAAATAACGATTCTTCATAAAAATATTTAGAATTTAAATTTCTAACTGAAACACTGAAGAAATTCCCCAGTACACTTTCATGTGAACTTTGGGCTGGACGTGACCGAGTGTCCGAACTATGAATCTGCCAATTCACGGTTCACGTCACATTGTCGCGAAAAAAAAACTATCTGTGTTTTGGGAATGTGTGTGCGTGTGTTATCAGAATGACAATCAAAACCCACTGTTCGATTAAATAGTACAAGTCCAAGAGTTGGCGGTGGGTGCTGTTTTACTAGCTGGCTATTAGTTCAAAAGGTGTCTGGCATAGCCTGGTGGTTAGGGAGCACTCGACTCTCAATTTCAGAGTCACGGGTTTGTATCATCTTACCAAACATGCTCGTCCTATCACACAGGGGGGGGGGTTGATGTGATGTTCAATCTTATTATTCGTTCGTATAGAGTAGTCCAAGAGTTGGCAGTGGGTGGTGTTTACTTCCAAATAAGGGACGGCTAACGCATATACCTTTGGAGTAGTTTTGTGCGAAATTCAATAAACACATCAAAAGTGGGAACGGCTATGTGCTGATAGCCCTTGTGTAGTTTTGCGCACTAATTTTGAAGCAACCTTGTGTTCAGGTGTGTCTTAATCTGAAGTGTTATAGGGTGCACGTTCCGTAACAAAGCAATTACTATGTTACACAACAGAAGACAAAACATTTTAATTTATTACGTCAGTCATATAGGGCAACAATTAATTAAAGTTCATGATAACAATAATACTGTTGTTAGTCACGTACTGTTTGAATATTCACAAACACCTAACCGGTATTACTTGTCGATCAAAAACACCTAACCGGTATTACTTGTCGATCAAAAACACATAACCAGGTATAACTAGTCGATCAAAAACACAAAACTGGGTGTGACTAGTCGATCAAAAATAAATAACCAGGTATAACTAGTCGATCAAGTACAAGTAACCAAGTATAACTAATCAATCAAAAACACGTAACCAGGTATAACTAGTCATTCAAGGAAATATAACCAGGTATAACTAGTTGATCAAAATTAGGTAACCAAGTGTAACTAGTCGTTCAAGGTCACGTAACTAGGCATAGCCGGTCGAGGATTTATAAATGAGGACGACCTCTACTGGTCAGTAACGGAGCACAAGGCGTGATTCTTCATAATATTTTGAAGTTACACCACGTGACGTTCATTTCTTTTTTTTTTTGCTGCAGTTAATAATCAAGTGTGATGTGAATTTCACTGGACTTCTGGAAAACATAAAATTCTATTCTTTCAGTAGTTAAAAAAGTTTTAGAGTCTCAAGTTGTGTCATTAAGAAATTTTGAAACATAGTTACGGTAAGTAAATCAAGCTTCTTAGTTGACATTGGACAAGACGAGGTGTGGTTTTGTAAACATTTTGTTTCCTCTCTCGGGAAACATCTCCTCTAATCGTCTAAATCCCTGAAATTACTTTTTATAATTGTTATTATTATTATTATCTTCACAGATTCCTTATCAGACAAAATACTTTTATACACGTATCGGACACGTTTTTAACTCACGCTTTACATGAAGCGGTAAGTTTCTTGATAAATTTACGTGTATATATGTAAACATCATTTATTTTAAAACCTTCCTACTTTTAAAATCAAGTTTCCGTCAGTTCTAGCGAACGCATAATTTCATTGGTTATTACGTATTTACTTTTATATGTTGCGTTGGTGTATGTATACACAAACGAAGTAAATAGTCGCAACACAGTAGTTGAGCAAATATGATCGTTGAATAGCTGTGGCTACATAACAATGTACATGTTAAACGAACGTTACGTTACGTGGCAACAGTGCTGCGCTGATTGGATAAAAACAACAAAATATTTATTCCTAAGCTTTACAAACTATTCACCGTATTAAAACTAAAAGCAGGAACATAAATCGATTGTTTTAAAATCAAAAACCACGTACACACATATAATCTGTCAAAAACTGATGATTGGACAGTTTAAGTTCTAATACTATTATTGATACTAACATTAGTAAACTCAAGCATTAAATGGAATACAAGTCAAAGCAGTACCCAAACGTCAGATACTATAAACCACCACAGAAAATCTCGGTTTTTTACACATGGCGCCTAATATGAACACGAGTTAAAACAGATTATTTACGAACAAAAAGATAAAAAAAAACTGATAAAAGTCCCCAACAATTCAACTAACAGGAGAACGTCAGTTACCCATTGCATTTCGGCATCACACTACATTTCAGCGTCTCATTGTTGCTTGCTAGAGTTTTAAATACAACCATACAATAACTGAAAAACAACTGAGGCCAAATACCTGCAACGTTTTGTCTTACCTAAAAATCTACAAAAAAAAAATTCCGTTCCAAGAGAGTACTTAAAATTTTATTTAACTTAAATTTAACTCAAATCGATAACAATCCTAACCAAACTTAAAATAATGTCGTCTGGGTAATACTATAAAAATAATAACGTAAAAGCTATTACTACAAGTGTAATATCGTCAAAGTTGTAAGTTTTATAGATTGAGACTACTGCTATAAGTACCCTAAAACAGAGTGATTAGGGTGGGACAAAATCTATGTCACTAAACTTTACTGTTAATTTCAAATGAGCGATTGGTTGGATTATCACAGCGCCTCTATACCTTTAGTGTCTAAGCTACTTTTTAGATGATATAGTTTGCTTTATATCTGATATATATATATCAAATGTTTACACCTGTTTACCGCTCTTTTTTTTTTTTTTGGTATCTGGTAGATATTTTCCGTTAAATATGTGAGATAAGACGTGCTTATTCTTTAAACTTCTGTGACTTTTTAAAACATATTTTCGCTGTCTCTATACACCACAGTGTTGGAGAAAAGGGACTGCAGATAATATTCAATGCTTGTCTCTATCCCCCCCCCACCCCTGTGGTGGAGTGATTTGATGCACATCAAAAATGTAAAAAATATATCTTGAACCCTGATATTCCCATGAGATCCAGTTGAGCCGCCCTGGACCCTTGTAGGATTGACCATCATTTTATAACACCCTCTCGGTTGAAAGGGCGAGAATGTTCTGTGATTGTTCTGCGACCCACAGTTTGCTATTCGAGTGCCCTAACCACCAGGCTTAAAGGTTAATACTCCCGTTTTACTGCTACTACTACAATAGCTAATACCATAAGAGCTAATACTACAAGAATTAATGCTATAAGAGCTAATACTATAAGAATTAACACTATAAGAGCTAATACTATAAGAATTAATGCTACAAGATCTAATGCTATAAGTGCTAATACTATAAGAATTAACACTATAAGAGCTAATACTATAAGAGCTAATACAATAAGAATTAATGGTACAAGAGCTAATACTATAAGAATTAATGCTACAAGAGCTAATGCTATAAGTGCTAATACTATAAGAATTAATGCTACAACACCTAATACTATAAGAATTAATGCTATAAGAACTAATACCATAAGAGCTAACACTATAAGAATTAACACTATAAGAGCTAATACTATAATAATTAATGCTATAAGAGCTAATACTATAAGAATTAATGCTACAAGAGCTAATACTATAAGAATTAACACTATAAGAGCTAATACTATAAGAACTAATACTATAAGAGCTAATACAATAACAATTAACACTATAAGAGCTAATACTATAACAATTAACACTATAAGAGCTAATACTATAAGAACTAATACTATGAAAGCTAATACTATGAGAACTAACATTAATCATCAGAATTAGGATAAGGATTTATTACTTCCTGTTTTGTTGGCAAAAAAAAAAAGAATCGTAATTATCTGGTTTAAAAATAAACCTGTTTTTTGAAATAATTATATAACTGTGTTTTAAGTTCCTAGTTAATTCATTCTATTTAAATATCTGAAAAAAATCTTCAAGATTTGAAACTAGCATCTTTCCGTGGAAGGTAGTCTACTGCATCAAAACTGAATAATTTGAGAACTAGAAACAAATCCTATAATTTAACCTATATTCTTAGGAATGTATTAACACAAACCGTTGAAACTTTGTATATTTTCAAGGATATTCTACATCAGTTCACGTTGTGCGAATTTTATTAAACTTTGTATATTTCCCAGGATATCCTACATCAGTTCACGTTGTGTGAATTTTATTAAACTTTGTATATTTCCCAGAATATCCTACATCAGTTCACGTTGTGTGAATTTTATTAAACTTTGTATATTTCCCAGGATATCCTACATCAGTTCACGTTGTGTGAATTTTATTAAACTTTGTATATTTCCCAGGATATCCTACGTAAGTTCACGTTGTGTGAGTTTTATTAAACTTTGTATATTTCCCAGGATATCCTACATCAGTTCACGTTGTGTGAATTTTATTAAACTTTGTATATTTCCCAGGATATCCTACATCAGTTCACGTTGTGTGAATTTTATTTATTTGCTAACTCTTTCGACAGTTTTGGAATTATCACGGGCAAACTTCGCAAGTGGTTTCGGGGGATGTCCTAAGCTATATGTTGTAGTTCCTACTCACATGTATTAGGGGTACCGGAGGGAGGGGTAAAACGCCCAGAATATCACCCAGACATGATGGCTGAAGGCGATAAAACACGAGGTAAAATCCGTGTTCTGGGAAAAAATACGGTTGTACGGGTGAATAAAACGCTTTTAAAGTGTTTTTTTTCTGGTTTCTAACGTCGTACATCAATCAACTCTAGTTCAAGTTCACTGCGTTTTTACAACTTAAAATGACAATCTTTAGATGCCTGTTTAACTGTTTGATTGCCTACTGACGTCACTGTCTCACGAAACTACAATTTGCGACGTAATTCGAAGCAAACTTCCAATTGTAAACATCAACAGTAACCTTTTTAAAATTAATATCAATGCTCTGATTTCATTTTTGGTTCAATGTTTATAATTACTCTATAGTTTCCAAGCAACCGAGTGTAATTATAAGAATACAACAATTCGGGGATCGATCCCTGGGGTGAGCATAGTACAGAGAGCCGATAGTACATTTTGGCGCCAAAAATACAAATCAAATAATACATTTCCTCCATTTTTGATATCTCTCCAATTTTCTCTGTCTATCTAGAGAAAAATTCAAATTAGTTATTCATTCCACTTAACAAACGGTTAGAAAACTCCTGTAACAATGAAAACTGTTCGTAAACTCTGTTCATTATCAAAACCCCCTGGGTGTCGTTTACTCGGTTAAGCTCATCTGTATTGTTAAAAAGCCATAGCTTAAACTGTGTATCAGTCCACGTGATACTCTATACGTTCCTAAACTCCGTTTTATGCCAAGTGTTGCGATTTTATATAATAAATACATTTAAATGAAACTATAATGGTAAGCATTACTCTTTTAGCCAATGTCATGCACTGCGCATATTCGGTACTACCACAGACAAAAAACACGTTTCTTCAAATACCAGCACAACGATGTGAGGGGTATTCATCAGAACGTGACCAGCTAACACTACTGTACGATTAACATGATTTTTTATTTTATTTACGTGGTAAAGGAGATTAGCACTGACCACAGACTCCTTTCCCTCCAATTATGAATTACTGTTGTTGTACCTTTGTCAGCGCGCTTCCCAGGTAGCGTGGTGCCGTCCGTCATTCCAAACTATCGACCACAGGGATGCAACAAGTCGGCTGCAACCACATTTACTCTTTTACTTCATTATGGACCGGCATGGCCAGGTGGTTAGGGCGCTTGACTCGGAATCTGAGGATCGCGGGTTCGAATCCCCGTCACACCAAACGTGCTCGCCCTTTCAGCTGGGGGGGGGCGTTATAATGTGACGGTCAATCCCACTATTCGTTAGTAAAAGAGTAGCCCAAGAGTTGGCGGTGGGTGGTGATGACTAGCTGCCTTCCCTCTAGTCTTACACTGCTAAATTAGGGGCGGCTAGCGCAGATAGCACTCATGTAGCTTTGCGCGAAATTCAAAAACAAACAAACAATACTTCAATACGTCACTTGGATACTGGTGGTTCCAGTCAACTTCACCATCAGTATCCAAGTGACAAAAGTTGTGTCTTCTGGTGATAGAACAGTCCTGACACAGCCTGGTCCAGTCAACTTCCCAGGCTGTGTCAGGACTGTTTCTATCACCAGAAGACACAACTTTTGTCACTTGGATACTGGTGGTGAAGTTGACTGGATCAGAATGTGTCAGGACTGTTTCTATCACCAGAAGACACAACTTTTGTCACTTGGATACTGATGGTGAAGTTGACTGGACCAGGCTGTGTCAGGACTGTTTCTATCACCAGAAGACACAACTTTGGTCACTTGGATACTGATGGTGAAGTTGACTGGACCAGGCTGTGTCAGGACTGTTTCTATCACC